GAGACAGGGATCTTGCTATGTTGCCCAGGCTGGCCTTGAACTTCTGGGTTCAAGTGATCCTCCCACCTTAGCCTCCCAAAGTGCTTGGATTAGAGGTGTAAGCTCCCATGCCCAACCCCCAGCAACTCTTTCATCTCCTGTTGAAGGGACTCAATTTTCCCTTCTACAAAGTAGGGGTCCTGTCATCCTGCCCTTCCTTCCTCCCATGTTGAGAATATGGAGCCCACAGTCGGGGGCGGGGGTGCACCCAAGGACTCCCCAGGGAAAAGGGGTATTTGTGTCTGGCTCTGCAGTGGGGTGGTGCAGCGCTGACATTGGTCTGGCTTTCAGGTAGACCTAGTGGACTGGGTGGACAACATGTGGCCCCAGCATCTGAAGGAAAAGCAGACAGAAGCCACGAACGCCATTGCAGAGATGAAGTACCCGAAAGTAAAGAAGTAAGATTGCTTGGCTGGTGGCTGGGGCTGGGAGGGGGGACCCCCAGCTCCTTGGGAAAGGAGCCTCCTGGCAGGAAAGAAGGCCCTGAGTGTCGCAGCAGCTCCTGTTCAGAACTGAAGGACTGCCTCTGTGGGGGCACAGCTGGGACGGGAGGGACAGGTCCTTTGTGGGTGCAGGTTGGTGCAGGGCCCCTGATCTCTGCTGTGGACCCAGCTCCCCTGGGGCTCTGTGACCTGAGGAGGAGCGATGGCAGACGTCTCTTTGCATCGGTGTGTGTCTGTGCGCAGGGCACAACTGTGTGTATGTTTGTGCACTCCCTCTGTGGGAGTGTCTGGGGAGTAGGCATTGTTGGGAGACCTGCCCACATCGGACGCTTTGGTTTTGGTGAGTGATGGGGAAAGTCCTGGTGTTCTTTTGTTCCTTGGTGTTGAGACCTGGGTGTTTGTACCCAGGAGTTCGAGATCGCACCACTGCACTCCAGCCTGCGGGACAGAGGAGACTCCGTCTCAAAAAATAAAAAAATTTAAAAAAAGGAAAGGAAAGGGGAAAGAGACACAGGCTGTCCCAGGCAGGGCAATCGCTCTGGGCTTTCTAGAGGAGTTGGCGCTGGCGGCTGGAATCCATTAGCATCTCTCTGCTCAGCCCTGCTGCCAGGAATGCCCCCAGGAGCTTCAAGGCTGTGAACTTTTCATTCACTCAGCCCTTAATTCAGTGCGTAGTGAGTTCGGACTGCGTGCCAGGCTTTGTGAGGGAGGCCAGCCGGCTGGCCCTTGGGCTTCTCAAGGTTTTGCTTTCAAGCTCGCTCGCTCTCTCCTTCTTTAATTACTTTGTAGGCATTTTTCCTCCCCTTCAAGCTGAAGCTCCATCCATGCCTTGGATCTGGGCTGCATCAAAGGCAGAGACTGGGCTGGAGGTGGGGAGGGAGCAGGACTTGTTTTCCGTTTCATTCTGCTTGCATTCAATCGCAGCAAAATTTACAGAGCTCCTGGCATGGGGAAGTACAGTGGCAAACAAGACTAAAAGCCCCTGTTCTCTGCAGAACATGCTGCGCATCCAGCGTCTAGGGGGCCGAGGGGCCCTCCAGTCCGGGGAGGGGAACAGGGACAAGAGGAGTCCTGTTTGGCTGGTGTCATCAGGAACGCATCTTGGAGGGGACATTCTGCCTGAGCTTAAATGACAGAGGAGACCAGGCACTGTGGATCACGCCTGTAATTTCAGCACTTTGGGAGGCCAAGAGGGGCGGATCACCTGGGGTCAGGAGTTTGAGACCAGCTTGGCTAACATGGTGAAAACCCATCTCTACTAAAAATACAAACATTAGCCAGGCGTGGCGGTGGGCGCCTGTAGTCCCAGCTATAGGAGGCGGGAGAATTGCTTGAACCTGAGAGGTGGAGGTTACAGTGAGCTGAGATGGCATCAGTGCACTCCTGCCTGGGTAATAGAATGAGACCCTGTTTCAAAAAAAAAAAAAAAAAAAAAAAAAAAGAAAATAAATTTATAAAAAAAAAAAAAAAAAAAAAAAAAAAAAAAAAAAAAAAAGACAGCTGGGCATGGCGACTCAGGTCTGTAATCCCAGCACTTTGGGAGGCTGAGGTGGGTGGATCACCTGAGGTCGGGAGTTTAAGACCAGTCTGACTAACGTGGAGAAACCCCGTCTCTACTAAAAATACAAAATTAACTGGGCTTGGTGGCGCATGGCTGTAATCCTAGCTACTCGGGAGGCTGAGGGGGGGTAATTGCTTGAATCCAGGAGGTGGAGGTTGCGGTGAGCTGAGATCACGCCATTGCACTCCAGACTGGGCAACAAGTGACACCCTGTCTCAGAAAAAACAACAACAAAAAACAGCCAGGCACGGTAGCTCAGGCCTGTAATCCCAGCACTTTGGGAGGCTGAGGCGGGCAGATCACCTGAGGTCAGGAGTTCCAGACCAGCCTGATCAACATGGTGAAACCCTGTCTGTATCAAAAATACAACAATTAGCTGGGCATAGTAGCAGGCACTCAAAATCCCAGCTATTTGGGAGGCTGAGGCAGGAGAATTGCTTGAACCCAGGAGGTGGGGGTTACAGTGAGATGAGATGGCATCATTGCACTCCAGCCTGGGTGACAGAATGAGACCCTATCTCAAAAAACAAAAATAAAAAGAAAAGGCAAAAACAAATGACAGAAGAGATGGGAGAGAAATGAAAAGGGAACTGAAAAAAGGCTGTGCGACTCAGAAATTATTAGTTACAGGCAGATGATGGCTCATTGATTAACTGAGATGATGGATCATTGATTAACTGATTGATTGATTGATTCATTCATTCATTCAGCACCTATGTCTTGAGTCCCTGATTGGTGCTGGGTACTGCGGTTACAGTAAGGAGAAAATCAGAAGAGGTTCCTGCTTTCCTGGAGCCTCCACAGTATATGGGGAAGACAGATGAAAATCCAGTAATCACAGAAACAGATGGGCATTTACAGCTGTGGTGAGGCCCGTGGTGCTAGGGGAGGAGAGTCACCCAGTCAGGGTGTCAGGGAAGGTGTTCTGAGCTGGCCTCTGAAGGCTCAGCAGGGTTACTTAGGTGAGGAAGTCTGGGAGGGCGTTCCTGGCTGTGTGTAGTCGAAGTGGGATGGTGAGAAGGGGCAGGGGAATTGTCAAAGGAAGGCCGGGGGGCCGAGGCAGAGGCAGTGAATGCAGGGTAGGTGCTGGCGGGGCCTGGAGGAACAGAGGGTCTGCACTCCCCCAAGAACAGCTGGAATCCCCTCGAGATTTTGAGCGGAGAGAAATGTGTTGAGGTTTGCGTTGTGCAGGTCCTCCTGTTGCTATGGGGACGGGAGGGCGTCGGGGCATGTGAACATGAGGAGGCCACTAGGTGGTGTGGAATTGGGAATGACAGGCAGGGAGAGGGGAGGGGAGGAGGGACATGGATTTAGGAACGCAAAAGAGACTGTATTGGGTGACAAGAGTTCAGTTTCATAATTCATGCCTACCTTGTCTTGCTCAGATACCCAGTATATTCTGCACTTTATTTGAAAGATTCCTTTAAATAGTGAGCTCTATTCATATATTTAGGATCCTATGTAATTACCAAAAACAGAAACAAAAACAAAACATAAGGCTCACACATTCCCAGTTTTTTTTTCTTTTTTTTTAAACTGTTGTCCATCATTGTGCACATACTCCCAGTTTGTTTTTTTGTTTTGTTTTGTTTTTGACATGTAGTTTTACTCTTGTTGCCCAGGCTGGAGTGCAATGGCACAATCTCGGCTCACCGCAACCTCCGCCTCCCGGATTCAGGTGATCCACCCACCTCGGCCTTCCAAAGTGCTGGGATTACAGGTGTGAGCCACCATCGCTGGGCTCATGCTCCTAGTTTGCTAGAACCCTATGTCTTGTGGTCGAATTGTGTGGCATATAGATCTATGGACTCTGTCAGTGGTCATGGAAACTGGTTAGAGGATTTGAACCTCCTTAGGAAGGAAATTGTCATCTTGGAAATAAATAGTCCATTTATTTTGCTGAAAAGAATGCCAATTGCAGTTAATAAGCAGGGTAAAGGTTGGGCGAGGTGGCTCATGCCTGTATCCCAGAACTTCGGGAGGCTGAGGCAGGCAGATCATGAGGTCAGGAAATCGAGACCATCCTGGCCATGGTGAAACCCCATCTCAACTAAAATACAAAAAATTAGCCGGGAGTGGGGGTGCATGCCTGTAGTCCCAGCTACTCAGAAGGCTGAGGCAGGGGAATCGCTTGAACCCGGGAGACAGAGGTTGCAGTGAGCTGAAATTGTGCACTGCACTCCAGCCTGGTGACAGAGCAAGACTCTGTCTCAAAAATAATAATAATAATAATAATAAAGAAAGAGAAAAGCAGGGTAAAAAACCCCACCATGATGACGTCCTCTGGGATCTTGGAAAAGTTCTGTGGAATTTAATGACAATGACATCGTTTCTAGAAATTGTGGAGCTTTCATGCTGGAGGCCCTGGAGGTCAGAGATGGCTGTCAGCACACCCGGAGGAGGGAAGGACTGCAGTAGGGAAGAGGGAAGAGACACAGACACATCACTGCTTCCCTCTGCCAGACTCTATGACTTTTGGTGATGGATGTAATGAGTTTAGGAGGGTTTTTTTTGTTTTTCTTGTTTTTTTGACAGAGACTCCATGTCACCCAGGCTGGAATCCAGTGGTGTGATTTTGGCTCACTGCAACCTCCACCTTCCGGGTTCAAGTGATTCTCCTGCATCAACCTCCTGAGTAGTTGGGATTATAGGTGCACGCCACCACGCCTGGCTAATTTTTGTATTTTTAGTAGAGACAGGGTTTCACTATGTTGGCCAGGGTGGTCTTGAACTCCTGACCTCAGGAGTCTACCTGCCTTGGCCTCCCAAAGTGATGGGATTACAGGCGTGAGCCACCGTGCCTGGCCAGGAATCTTTATATTTATTTATTTTTGATTTTTTAGAGATCAGAGTCTTGCTTTGTTGCTCAGGCTACAGGGCAGTGTAAAAAACCCTAGCTTACTACAGACTCAAACTCATGTGATCCTTCTACCTCAGCCTCTTGAGTAGCTAGGACTATTGATGTGTACCTGGCTTTTTTTTTTTAAAAAAAAAAAAAAAACAAAACAAAACAAAACAAAAAAAAACAGAGTCTCTTTCTGTTTCCGAGGCTGGAGTGCAGTGGCGTGACCTCGAGTCACTGCAACCTCCTCCTCCCAGGCTCAAGCAATCCTCTCCTCTCAGCCTCCCAAGCCGTTGGGACCATAGGCACACGCCAGTACACCTGGCTAATTTTGTTAAAGACGGGGTTTCACCATGTTGCCCGGGCTGGTCTTGAACTCTTTGACTCAAGCGATTCACCCACCTTGTCCTCCCAAAGTGCTAGGATTATAGGTGTGAGCTACCATGCCTGGTTGATATTTTTAAAAATTAATTTTTTTTTTAATTTGTAGAGGTGGCGGTGGGGGAATCTTTCTATGTTGCCCAGGCTGATCTTGAATTCCTGGCCTCAAGT